TACTACAGAAACTCATATAATATTACCAAATAACCATAATCTCACTGTTATGTATAAATTAAAAAAATGACATTGTGAAAGCGAATATATCTTTCAAATGCTAACCTATGTTAAACATGAATTCACGAAGTGAAAACGTATTGTTTATGGACATAGCAAAAACCTATTTAAAAATCTTGAATAAATAAACACTATATAAAATTTGTTGTAATAAGTTAAAATCAAGCGAAATTAAAATTAAATTGAAAAAGAAATTGGCATTAACGAATAACTATTTAACATAGCCGCCATGTTTAAAAATAATTATGCAAAATAAGCAATTCCAAGGCTAGTATAATAATCGATAAATAATCGTCCGGTTTTTATCACAGATAAAAAAAGCATGCAAAACATCTGCCGCCAAAAAGACAAACCACTAAAAATCGCACTTGGCGCGAAAAAAAAATGTCATCTGCATACAACATCTGGACAATAAAAAGTCACGATAAAAATATTTATACAAATATAAAAAAAAAGTATGACCGAAAAATCGCAAACATCAAATAGTTTTTGAGTTTTTTGAGGCAGCATGTGCCAAGCTTCCGCTGTACTGATAGCTAAGGTTTTATGAATAGGTAATTATTAATGCAAATAGGAGATTAAAAACTTTTTGGATAGTACCGCTTAGTCTAATACCAAAAAAAATATATACGACCTTTTTTTAGATTGAAATAAATATTTATTCACTTATTGTATTTTGATTGTTAAATATATTTACTAAAATATGTATATATTTTATGTATAATATATTTTAAAGAATATACAAAAAACATTAAATTCTATGAAACCTGCGTCCACTACATCTGTCAGATTCGGATCATTGTCATTAGGCACATGTTCGATTTAAAAAAATAATAAATTTCACTCAATTTAGCCAACAAAAGATAAAAAGTTTTGCATTCGTTTCCGTAAAAAACGAGAGTCTGCGCACGAGCTCGTTGTGTTTTTATAACTTCCATCTGAGACGTATTATTGTACAACAATTGTTGATCAAATTAAGAAAAAGTCTATTCGTTTGATGTAAAGCATTATATGGACATGATTTATATTTAATCTGTGGCGATTACCTGTATTTTCATCTGTCATAGAATCTAGAAATATTGTTTTTTGTTGAATTTACGTATAATATAAGCCTAAAATCATTGAAAAAACAGACCAAGGTCATAAATACTACTAAAATAAGGCAATTTTTCTCAATTATATATATAAAATCAAATCCATATTATGTCCCAAACTAGCACAAAACCGCGGAAGTCTCCGCAATATGCCGCCTCTTCCTGTCTCATTGCCAAATTTGCTTTTCATCTTTTTTTTTAATATTATTTTTTTTAATTAGAAGGCATGGCTCGTGCCAGTCAGCTGCGAATCTACAAAATAGTTTCAACATACGAGCTTTTACTTTTTATCGCATCTTTTAATATAAAAAATGTATCAGACATTAAATTATTACTTTATTAATGATCAGATGGAAATAAAAAGAAGATGGTTTTATTATATAAAAGTATTTTACTTCATTTACAAATTACATAGACGGATATTACCTGAAAAGTGACTTGAAAAATATTGTTGTTAGTTATACGTATGTTTAATTTTACATTAAAAATAAAACGTCAACTTATAAACAACATTACTTACATAATTAGTTTAGTTAACATTATATTATTAGACGAAAAACATACATAGAAGTTAATTTGAACCAAGTTCATCAAAATATACGAGGCTTAGTCAGTGGTGGCCTAGTGGTTAAAGGGCCCGCCTCTCGTTGCCGAGGGCGCAGGTTCGATCCTGGCAAGTTCCAATGTGATTTTTCCGAGTCATATGTACTTTTTAAGAGTATTTAGACACCACTGACATACGGTAAAGGAAAACATCGTGAGGAAACCTAGACTTATAGTTTCACAATTATAAGTTTGATATCACCAACCCGTCTTGAGCAAGCGTGGTGATTAATGCTCCAACCTTCTCCATGAGAGAAAGAGGCCTTTGCTCAGCAGTGGGCTCTGATAGGCTGATAGGCTTTATAGAGAAATGAAGATGATAAAACAATAAAATAAATTTTGTAAACAAATGTTTCGATTTAAAATGTATTTTTCCAAATTGATTAATATTATATACTGGGTGACTGGTGAATTACTATCGATACTTGAGGACGTGATATTTGACGATCATATATGACAAAATAAAAATTAATATAAGATAAATATTAATAAACTTCTAAGTAAAGTTAACCAAAAGTTATGTAATTAATTACGCATCGTGTGAACACCCTACAGATTAGGTATACACACACTCACACATACGCGTGGGGCGGCGTGGTGTTGTATCAGCACGCCGCTGCACGCGTCCACACTTGGAACACTTGGAACGTGTCCACATTTTATTTATTTATACGGAAATTTTGTCAAAAATTAAGTACCTATTTTTTTTACATAATTCGAATGAGATTCATGTACCGAGTATTCTCCTTAAATATTGATAGTAATTCACCAGTCACCCTGTATAGGTGAAATTAACTTTAAAATATCGGTAAATTTTTAACTATAACCTTATACAGGATGACTGGTGAATTACTATCAATATTTGAGGAGAGTATTCGGTACATGATTCTCATTCGAATTATTAAAAAAAATAGGCACTTAATTTTTGACAAAATTTCCGTATAAATAAATAAAGTGTTGACACGTTCCAAGTGTTCCAAGTGTGGACGCGTAGAGTGTTCACACGATGCGTAATTAATTACATAACTTTTGGTTAACTTTACTCAGAAGTTTATTAATATTTATGTTATATTAATTTTTATTTTGTCATATATGATCGTCAAGTATCACGTCCTCAAGTATCGATAGTAATTCACCAGTCACCTTGTATAATAACTCATAAGTCTTAAACACTGAAATAAATCGAACGCAAAATTACAAAACTAAACGTTCAATGTGTATTATGTTTTTTAATTTATTGAACATTTAAAAAACAGAAACCAGCCAAATGGCGCGGAAGGGCCGATCCGTAAAAAAATGCGATCTCGTGCCAGATAATTAAGGCCTTTGAGGAATCGTTTATTAAAAAAAAAACTTTTCGCCTTACCTGACATATCATAACTAAATAGTTTATAGGATGCTAAACCTTTTTTGAGAAAAACTTAATAATATTATTATCTATACAAATATTCTATACTATTTTGGTATAAATTGGTTAATTATACATTTTTTGTGGTTAGTTTGAAGTTTGCATATTAAATTGTCCAAGTGCTTATCAATTGAGATGAGTATAAAAAAATTTTGACCATATTTTACGAACACCTTGTATATTAATTTGAACCGCACTCGCCGAACGTATATACTCGATATGTGATCTGTGAAAAAAAAAGATCTTCTAGTTTTTTAAGCGCCAAAGAAATTCTTGTAAAAAAGGTCGATTTCGCAGATGTTTATTTTATAAATTTCTTGCACGTGGTATTCGTGATTTTTTGCGCCGGCCTGTGAGGTCCGCCAGTTATGATATTGTCTAAAATGATTACAAGATGGCCTAATTAGCAATAAATTGAGGTTAAAGAATCGGAATTGTACGCAGCTGGCCATTTTAAAGTTAAAACTATCAACATTAATATCATATATGGCTTAAAATTATTCTATAGGTTTTTGCGAGGACTCTATATAAAAATACACATAAAAACTAGTAGAAATTAATGAATCAGAATTCATTATAATCTATTTTTGTTTCGAAATAATTCTTAATTGACTTATTGAAAACTTGCTTTTTATGTATTTAAAGTCGTCCATCTATCGGTCGTATGTCAAACTAAAAATTGAAGTCATTAGCTTACTCGTTTAAATAGAGATTTTACCTTGTAGTACTAGATGGCGCTTAATGAAATAAATATTTATTATTTATATATCGGATTTATTACAAATTCGTTGTTTTAAAACAGAGAGACGCCAGCCTCGTTGACGTTACAAATGTCACTTCTTCTAGTACGTTCCATGATATTGTAAAATGAAACTTCAATTGTTCTCAATGCTGCTGTATTTCTCGAAGGTTCTTCACAATCACGTACTTCAATGATACGCACTCACTGAATTCTGAATTCTCAAGTCTGCCGTCGTGCGTCCAGACGTCATAATTATACCAAGATTTAAACATAGTTCTATTTTCCTTTTAAACAACCTTTGATTTCGTTTTACTTTTAACAATAATCATGAATACTACTAATGAGGTTTAATAAGAATTGATGACAGCCTCAAATTATTTTCATGTCGCCTTCGTTATTAAAGCTGGTAGCGCCGATATATATGTTTTAACATTCTACCGAGTTTAATTCGTGATTAATAATATATTATTTATTATCTATCAATCAAAGAAGAATATTTGAATATAAATTGATAAAAAAACAATAGTGCGTGGAGTACCTCCGCAAAGAATAAGTGAAACATGATTATAAACAATTCTTATCCACTTTTTAAAATAAAAAACTACCATATTAATTTATATGAATCTCAAATCAAACAAAAAAGTGATAAAGTAATATAATAATATTTATTCATTTAATATAAAACAAGAAGAATTTTCAGCAAATTTCACGACACTCACACTGTTTACGTTTACTAATTTATTGACTTACCAATTCAAATCTTTCTTTTAATTTTTAACTAACTCATTTTGAACCATCCAATATTTTATATTTTCAAATAAAATCATGATTCAATGAGAACCAATAAATTTCTTACTTCAGTTGCTATAAATTCATTAAGTATTTTCTTCGTAAAAAATCCATTCTTATATTTCACGAAAGTATATATAAAGTTTATGTTTTAGTTACTGATCTCTTCACCTCGAATAAATTTTAATATTAACACAATTAAACACAAACAAAAATCGGTATCGCTTACATAGAATATCGTTTACTTTATTCTCTTAATATAAATCATATGTCTTAATGCGTTATGTCTTAATGAGTTATTTTTTTATAGATTTTGTGCATTAACAACTAAATCATCATACATATCTATATAAACTCTATTAAATCTGTCATGTCTGTTACAATGGAACTCCTCAGTGGTGACACAAACGGGATGTCTACCGTCGTACTGTCTGCTGTTGTAGCTGATGCCCAGTCGTTTAACTTCATCAACTATGTCTCTCAAACACGCGCACTGCCACGGGTTCTGGTTGAAGTAGAACTTGGTCAACTTGGCTCCGAAGTTCCTTAACTCCAAACAGAAGTTACTCGTCAAATATGTCAGCTTATTGTCAGCTAGGTTCAAATTCTTGACGGACGTCCCGTGGAAACTATTGACGTTGATGGTTGAAATTGAATTATGTGATAAGTCGATGTTTGCTAAGTTTTTCATATCCTGGAATAGCTCTACTGGTAATGATGTCAATTTATTACCTCGTAGAATAATCGATTTTAGTTTCTTCAACGTTTTGAAGACGCTACCCTCAAGTATTGCAATATTATTATCTGCTAAATTCAAATGTTCAAGGTTGTCTACATTAACGAAAATTAATGGGTCATCAATTTTGCTAATATGGTTACTCGCTAAGGAAAGCGTCTTGAGAGATTTCAAGTTATTTTTTACAACAAACAGCGGCACTTCATTTAACAGACATTTCTCCAAAATCAGTGTTTCTAGAACTTTTACCGCGTTCAGGAGTTGAGAGGGAGTAGAGGTCAAATGATTCCTGGACATATCTAAATATATCAATTGTACATTCCTATCGAAAATATACGGATTTATATTATCACCTCGTAACATATTATTGGATAAACTGAGATATTTTAATTTTTGTAACGGATCAAACACACCCAATTCTATATTCTCTAGCGAATTACTGGTCAAATCGAGTGTGGCCAGATTTGGCAATTGATCAAATAAGCCAAGTGGGAATGTTGTTAATGCATTGTGTGATAAGTTTAAGTGAGTGACCGTTTTAATATCGTCCAGAACTCCTAACTTCAGTTCAGATATACTATTCTGTGAGAGGTCAATGTACTTTAGAGATGCCATATTCTCAAAAGCCTCATATTCCACACCAGATACTCTACAGCCTCTCAGAGTGACAGAGCTCGTCCTATTGTTATCAGAGACGAGTCCTCTCTTTAAAATGTAATTTTCTTCGGAAGACGTGCAAACTAATTCTGTTATTTTATGAGACTTATATTTACATTCTGGTGCCGCTCTGATGAAGGACCATGTTAGACAAAACAGTAAATATTTCGTAAGTTCCATCTGAAAATAATGATTAGAAATATATATTTAAACTTTTATTTAAAAACAAATGTTATTAGCATTCTTTATGTTAATAGAGTAAGTCTTTTGTAACAGGAAAATCTTTTTAACATTTATTGCCAAATTTGTATAAAAAACTATATTTATAAAACTTTGTTTTTTCGAAGTCGGTTAATTAAAGAAAGAAAAATAATCATTATTTAATAATATATTTATATGATTAAATAAAATAATGAATAATACACATATATGTATTATGTTCAATCATATGAGTAAATCCTACATGTTCAATCTCGGGATTTCCCTTTTTCAAATACGAATCTCTACAAATTATTTAAAAAGATGACGTGTTATTATAAAAATAAATATATCCCACCTCTTTCACCTCCAATACTCAATTCAAATATAACTAAAATCACTATATTAATGAACACATATAATTATATATCTTTGTTTATATATTTTATAATATTTGTCTACACAACACTCCGTACGACCACAGATCCAGAACTGGATTGAACAAGTACATACTTAATGTACTATTTTCAACAGATTCACTTTAACATGTATATAAAATAATTAAAATAGTATATCAACAAGAACTTTATTTTGCAATACAAAACATTGAGGCGCTTTTTCCAAAATAATAAATAAAATGTTGATTCAAAAAAGAAAAAATATGTCGTGTCCAATTTTTAATTGGCTACATAGTTTTTAAACCAAGATTTAAAGCGTCAAGGAAATGTAAATACTGGACATCCTTCTGCTTTTAGTCATATCAATACTGTAACTTAATAATTAAATATTATTTTATTAAAAAAGTATAGTATTTTTGTCTCTTGTCATATAAAATATATTTATTTATGGGAAAACATACAGCTTATATTACAATTAATTATAACGGCAGACTAAAAACAATTTTGCCAAAAAGGTTTCCACGGTTTATTTTATTTTATTTTTAGTTTATTGGAGAAAAAAACAGAACACAGGATTGTATTAATAAATATAAACAATAACACAATAAATTAAAGACAAATAATACCTGAATTAAACATTTCTCACTAAGAAATATAGATAAATTAAAAAGAGAGGGCGCTTGGGCACGCATCTCTAATAATACACTTGGTAAAAGCGTACCTACAGATAAAGTGTGTAAATTTAATTTAAGGATGTAAAGGGAGTGATGCTTCAACTAAACTAAACTAAACTCTTAATCAATGTTAATGAAAACTGGACTGCGAGGTGGTTTATTTTTTTCCCCAATTTGTTTTGAAACGCGACTGAATTGTGACCTAAAATATCAAACGGAGAAAATTCGTTATTATAAGTGCGACTTATTTTACGTACGGAGCGCGTAATCCCGCATTTGTGTATGATCGCGTTACATGAAATAATGGTTATTTTGACGTGGAGTGTACTTACATTAATAATAATAATAATTAAAGTAAAAAAAACATATATAACAAGGAGTACCAAACATAAAATTTACTACAATTATGATTTATCTTCTTCTTCTACCTGGCAATATCCCAGCTTAAGTCAGGGTCTGCCTTACATGATATAAATAGTTTTGGCTAATTGTTTTTAGGACCGCCCACCTGCCTGACATCAACCCTCTTTGGGAATGCATTAATCAGTGATGTCTAAATACTCTTAGAAAGTACATACGACTCGGAAAATCACATTGCTACTTGCAGAGCCAGGATAACAATTACAATTATGATTTATAAAGATTACAAAAATAAATAAATAAAATTTTTAAACAGGAGAATAAAAATTATAATAAGATGTGCAACTGAATCTTATATTACGTTAGATTATTAAGGATTGTTCTTTAAACTACAAATAAAATTAGAGTTAGACGGATTAAAAATTTCAATGTTATTAAACATATATATACATTATAGTCGAATTTTATTCAATAGATATTCGGAGTCAATGAAGTAGTTTAAAATCCCTACTAATATTATAAATGCGAATGTAACTCTGTCTGTCTGTTACGCTTTCACGGCTAAACCATTAAACTGATTTTAATGAAATTTGGTACAGAGATAGAGTTGACCTTGAGAAAGAACATAGGATAGTTTTTATCCCAGATATTTCAAGGTTCTCTTGGAAACGCGATATAACCGAACACCACGCGGGCGAAGCTGCGGGCGGAAAGCTAGTTTTATATAAAACCTTTTTTATGTAGGTTAAGGTTAACGACCTCAGACATTTAAAGATCTTAATATACTTTTTTTAATCTCATCCATTTTTATATGCATGCGGTTGCAAAGTATTTATCGTCATAGTCATACATATAATATATTGCTGAAGACCAACACTGAGTCTAGACTAGTTACCGAGATTATAAATATTATATATTATGAACATATATTTATATCTTACATAATTAAATCGTGTTATTTACGTATATTACAAAAAGCAAAAGTACGAATATATGTACATAATTTTTCGCTAACGCTTAGAATCTTAATTTAAATTTTGAACTCTCTAATCAATAAAAAAATAGAAACTAAATTTTTCTTATTTATGAATATTTTAGTTGTTACTTCGTAAAAAGCGCCTCAATCTTTTGTATTGCAAAATAAAGTTTTTGCTTTTTATATATGCTATACTGTTTTAATTTCTTTATGTACATGTTAAAGTGAATCTGTTAAAAATAGTACATTAAGTATGTACTTGTTCAATCCAGTTCTGGATCAGCGTTCGTACGGAGTGTTGTGTAGACAAATATTATAAAATATATAAACAAAGATATATAATTATATGTGTTCATTAATATAGTGATTTCAGTTATATTTGAATTAAGTATTGGAGGTGGAAGAGGTGGGATATATTTATTTTTTATAATAACACGTCATCTTTTTAAATAATTTGTGGATTAGTATTCAAAAAGGAAAGTCCCAAGATTGAACATGTAGGATTTACTCATTAAAATGAACATAATATATGTGTATTATTCATTATTTTATTTAATCATATAAGAATGATATTAAAAAAGGAAACCAATTGATGGTTTTTCTTTCTTTTATTAAATGACTTCGAAAAACTAAGTTTTATAAATCTTTTTTTGTATACCTATATCAATAAATGTTGAAAAGATTTTTTTGTTACAAAAGATTTACGATGTTAACTGTAATTTATCTTCTATATATATAAAAATGGATTGCTGTTCCTTAGACTCGCTAAAACTCGAGAACAGCTGAACGGATTTATCTTATCTTAGTCTTGAAATGTTCGTGGAGGTTCAGGGAAGGTACAAAAGCTGAAAAAAAATTATTCATTACTGGGAAAACAATAAAAACAGCCCTTTTCTCTTTCCCATACAAACGTTTTTTTTGACATTAGATTTGACAACTAACTAATATGTCAATCATTCTGTCGCACTTCAAAACACGGAGATTTATGGCTTAAAATATAAATTAAAAAACGTAACAGATATTTCTTCATTATAGGGCGATACGAAGTTCGCCAGGTCTTCTAGTTTTTAAATAAAACTAAAGTACAAACCTTATAGTATAAATCATTATTTTCAGATGGAACTAACAAAATATTTATTGTTTTGTCTAACATGGTCCTTCATCAGGGCGGCACCACGATGTAAATATAAGTCTGATAAAAAGCCAGAATTGATTTGTAGATCTTCAGAAGAAAATTACATCTTAAAGAGAGGACTCGTCTCTGATAACAATAGGACGAGCTCTGTCACTCTGAGAGGCTGTAGAGTATCTGGTGTGGAATATGAGGCTTTTGAGAATATGCCATCTCTAAAGTACATTGACCTCTCACAGAATAGTATATCTGAACTGAAGTTAGGAGTTCTGGACGATATTAAGACGGTCACTCACTTAAACTTATCGTACAATGCATTAACAACATTCCCAATTGGCTTATTTGATCAATTGCCGAATCTTTCGACGCTCGATTTGACCAGTAATTCGCTAGAGAATATAGAATTGGTTGTGTTTGATACGTTGCAAAAATTAAAATATTTAAATTTGGCAGATAATAATATTTCAACAATAAAGGGAAGCGTCTTCAAAACGTTAAAGAGACTAAAATCAATTATTCTACGAGGTAATAAATTAACATCATTACCAGTAGAGCTATTCCAGGATATGAAAAACTTAGCGAACATCGACTTATCACATAATTCAATTTCAACCATCAACGTCAATAGTTTCCACGGGACGTCCGTCAAGAATTTGAACCTAGCTGATAATAAGCTGACGTATTTGACGAGCAACTTCTGTTTGGAGTTGAGGAACTTCGCTGCCAAGTTGACCAAGTTCTACTTCAACCAGAACCCGTGGCAGTGCGCGTGTTTGAGAGACATAGTTGATGAAGTTAAACGACTGGGCATCAGCTACAACAGCAGACCATACGACGGTAGACATCCCGTTTGTGTCACCACTGAGGAGTTCCATTGTAACAGACATGACAGATTTAATAGAGTTTATATAGATATGTATGATGATTTAGTTGTTAATACAAAAAATCTATAATATAGGACACATGATTTGTTTAGAATGTAGGATATATCAGACCAGTGCTATTAGCTTTTAAAACATTATTAAATTATAGTAGGACGAAACCCATTAGAAAATGAGGGGATTATTATAAAAATTGAAGGAAAAATAATTTTAGATCTTTTTATTACCTACAACTTTGCCATATAACTTGCCTTTTCTAATTGGTTTCATTCTACTATATTTTTTTCACTTTTCATTAATTTTAAAGGCTTCAACCCTGGCCTTCACATATTACTGTTCATTTTCAAATTATATAAATATGATTATATTATATATACAAATATATGGTTGGTGAATATAAGAATAGATTTAGTTTACGAAGATAATACTCAGTGAATTTGTAGCAACTGAAGTAAGGAATTTTTTGATTTTAGATTCAATCATATTTATATAATTTGAAAATGTACAGTAATATTTGAAGGTTCATAAAGTTAGTTTAAAGTAAAAGTCTGAAAGATTTCAATTGATCATTCAATAAAATAGTAGACGTAAACAGTGCGAGCGTCATGAAATTAGCTGAAATACCTACTTCTTGTTCTATATTAAGATGAATAAATATTTATAAATAAATAATTTTACATTAATCACTTTTTTAGTTTGATTTGATATTCATATCAATTAATAAGGTATAGTGCGTTTGATTTAAGCTGAGCTTTGCATTTTGTACACGGTCTTTTACAATTTTTGCTTATTTTATTTTTAATCTAGTATAGATCTAGCACTTATGTATCTCTAAAAGTTTTTTTGTCTAACTCTACTTTTACTTTCACTCACACAAATGCAAAGCTCAGCTTAAATCTAACGGACTATAGTTTCTTATTTTCAAATTTTGTGGATTTGAAGAACTGTTAACAATTACGAACTATTTTTTTTATTAATTTAATGTAACAAAAATAAACAGGAGCTGTATTAACTAAGGGGTAAGTTGGCGGCGGGAGAGGTGTGGTGAGGACATATTATTTAAAGAGCATTTTTGGATGTAATCACTAATTATTTTTGTGAAAAGTAGAAATAAACAAGTGATTTACTAAGAAATCGTACAATTTTAATTGATCTCTTTAAAAAAGTTAATTGAGTTTCGTAACTAAAGTAATAGTATAATTAATATAAAACTAACGAAAACGCGCGCAACACCAAGAATAGGTTGACAATATGTAAAATGATAATGTAATAAAAAAATTTAAACATCTAGCACAAAAAAGGTTTTATGAAAAATTAATACGTGTTAAAAATATTATATATTATGAACATATATCTGTAGGTTCCTTCATCAAAACTTGCGTCTGTTTTGTTGTTATTTTCCTCAAAATGTTCACCATTGTTATAATGAGTCTCTGTTTTTTGAATTATTGTCGGACTTGAGCTTAAACAATCCAAACAACAAATTTATTTTTCTGGGAGACTTAACATTAGGAATGCAATTTGGTCTGATAAACCCTTTAGTATACTGAATCCCTCTGAAAATAATTTCATTATGCAACTGTTTCATTAATTTTACGGTTTGGTTTCAACATTTGTGAAAACATCGTGAGGAAACCTGGACTTATAGTAACACAATTATAAGTTCGAAATCACTAACCCGTTTTGAGCAAGCGTGGTGATTAATGCTCAAACCTTCTCCACGTGAGAAAGAGGCCTTACAGCAGTGGACTCTGATAGGCTGATGATTTCAATACAATCATTAATAGTAATAATATACTTTGGAATCTTATAATGTCTAACCTTCGTTTTATGTTGAAAGAACCTCACCACTCTCAGTCCCTGAGGTATATATCACCATAAATTATCTAGCAGTTGTTCCAAGATTAATTCGGAACTTTTATAATGCTAATTATGATTCCATCATTGGTGAATTGGACAAAGTGAACTGGATACACTAAATTCACTCTGATAACATAATAAATTTTATTCTATCCTTAATAATACATATAATTGGTCGTTGTATTCCATGTAAAATTGTATATGACAATAATAAATTTCTTAAATGCTTCTCAAAATCCTTAATTAAACTAAAAAATTCATAAAAAATAGAAGATTATGGTAGAATCTGCGACTGTGATCGCTTTTCTGAATCAAGAACTCAAACTAAGCGACTATCGGCGAATTGTTATAATAATTACGTCATTATCGCGGAATGTAATATTCTTATAACTCTAAACAATTTTAGACCTTCATTAAATCCAAGCGAGGAAGTAATGTTGTAATGTAAAGAGGGTTGATGTCCGGCAGGCGGCCGGTCGTAAAAACAAATAGCCAAAACTATTCATAACATGTAAGGCAGACCCTGGCTAAAGCTGGGAAATTGCCAGGAAGAAGAAGATATATACAGGGTGACTGGTGAATTACTATCGATACTTGAGGACGTGATATTTGACGATCATATATGACAAAATAAAAATTAATATAACATAAATATTAATAAACTTCTAAGTAAAGTTAACCAAAAGTTATGTAATTAATTACGTATCGTGTGAACACCCTACAGATTAGGTATACACACACACACACGCACGCTTCCACACTTGGAACACTTGGAACGTGTCCACACTTTATTTATTTATACGGAAATTTGGTCAAAAATTAAGTACCTATTTTTTTTTTACATAATTCGAATGAGAATCATGTACCGAGTATTCTCCTTAAATATTGATAGTAATTCACCAGTCACCCTGTATATAAATTACAAGAAAAATATACTAGAATAATTCACTTTTTTAATAAGATAATGTGTCACTGGCAGTAATATTCACGTAGTTAGACTAAAGCATTAGAATAATAAACACTGGGTTTTTAAAATAATTTTGATTTATTAATATACCAATTAGAATTCAATAATCACAGTTAAGAACAGAAAACATATTCTTTCGGGTTAGTTATACTTAAAGAAGAAATTAACTTCATTCAGATAAAAAGGTAAAAGACATTTTTTGGTTATAGTACGAAATTCGCCGGGTCAGCTAATATTTAATAAATAACAATTGATTACGAATTGGTTACTACTAAAGTTTATTTTTCACTAAAAGTTAAACAATGATTAATCTTCACATACATATATTATAAATCACAATACGAATTATCTTTTACTATTCTTTAATAAAAAACACAACGATCTGTAGAACAAATAGTTTTGTTAAAAAAATCATTAACGCTATTGCGTTAGTCACATCTATCCTCTAAAGTAAAATACTTATGAAACAACCTAACTATCCCTTAGGGTTTTAAATGTCGTTATTATTTACTTTTCTTTTATTTCAGCATTATTCTCATAATCACAAACAAACTTGATCTATAAACATATGAATAAGTTGCATAAACCTCAAATACAACGCATTTTGTTGAAAATTGGTCATGTAATATTAATAAATATTTACAATTTTTAAAACTTAAACAAATCAATAAGTTGCATAAACTTCAAATACAACGCATTTTGTTGAAAATTGGTCATGTAATATTATGATATTTACAATTTTTTTAAATTTAAAGAATCTTAAGACTATTTCATGGTTTAAAAAAGCACTAATCGTAGAGCAAAGTTATTCTTCGATGAATTGCTTCATATATTTGTGGCTCATTGAAGCTGCAAATGTGTAAAACACATACACACACACATACACACAACAGACACACACACACATGTCATTTATGATCGTTCTGTTTCTGTCGTAAGCATCTATATATGACTATTGAATCATTAAGTAAATACAACTAATGTATAATATATAGTCAAATACATAAAAAACAAGTTTCACTGAGACATTTATAAGAATACAGTTATGTCATACGTAAAAAATAAAACAAAACTGATATATTTATTATAAATTTATTACTAAACAAATATATATTAAGAATCAATCATTTCCATCAGTATTATTACGACTATCGAACGTCTGTGACAACCCTGAATCATAGTTTATTGACAAACTCTTAAGACCTGTTGTTTCGTCTTGAGTTGAAAATTTTGTTAAATCTAGCTCACTCTTCAACTGCTGTAATGATTGTATAACTTCGTTCTGGAAATTCATATTTATTTTGTACAGCTGTTCCGAGTGCTCCCTCTCTCTGCGAATTTCGTTCTTATAATGAGTGTCTTTGTATTTCTCGAATTCACTCATTATACGTACTTTTGACTCGTATGTGTGTTGCACCATTGACACTAGAGCGAATAACTTTTCGATTACCTTATCTTTGACGTCTTTGGAAATGTTTGGATCAGACTCGAGGTCGGTTTTCGCGTCCAAGGCCAAGTCGTTAGCTGATGATGGGAAACCGAGAGGTGATTTATTGGTTCTTGAATTTGGATTCACGTCTAGCTTTGGTGATTTTTCTTTATCTTTCCTCGTTGTGAACGCTCCATGTGTTACAACTTCTGTGAAGTAACCAGAACTAGGTTTATGTGATTGATACTCAGCTGTTATTTTATTAGCCTTCTGTAATAACTCGTTGTTTTTCTTATGTATGTCTTGATTCTTCTGTAAAACTTCTTCGTGTACCTCAACCTGCTGTTGGTCAGGGTTCTTCCTGAATGGACTGCCGGTTCTGTTATCGAAGTTGGTAACATTCATTTTCGACATGGTTCTATGTACTATTATACCACCACTACACCACTTCTAGCCAGCGTGGTGACATACCACGAACTGAACTGTTTACTTAACCATAACCATATTAGTGTAGGTTTCGCTCCAAACTTTTGGTTCGTCACCACTTCCTAAGCGTGGCAATGAATTTATTATTACGTTCGAACGGAATCCGCGTAGGTATGAATGCAGTTTACATTGAACTGTGAAGTCATATTTAGTCAAGTGTTCGAATACCAGCGCTCGTTAGAGTAAATAAACTAAAAGACACGGAAAATACAGTAGGTTAATGGCGGTGTACGAGATAGTGAAGAAATTAATTAAGGTTATCACTTAAACGAATTTAAATTATTCATGAACAACATCAGACATTTCTTTTGACGTAATATAAACTAAATTAAGTATGTAATAATAGTATTTTATTTGCACGGATGAAGGCCATATTTAAAACAACCAACCAATAGTTTTTTTTATAACAACTGAAAAATACTCTGGAAAATCTATGACACCATATTTCTCTAATGTGAAAAACACAATTAAATAAATGTAAATCCTTTTATTCCTATTTTTGTTTATTGATTACCTAATTCGTAATATTTTTTAGATAATATATATTTTTAAGTAAAAGAGGAACGTAAAGAGAAGTCAAGGAATAAAATATATTTATATACTTTTCTTTTTCTTTAATTAATTTTAAACATCCATGCTTATTTACAGAACACACACATTTAAAAAAGTTTGTATTAAAAATAACCTTTTTTTAATTAAAATATTTGTGAACTGTTCCGTTCAATTGATTATTCTCATTTAAACAGATTATAACAAACAACAATTAATGTTAAAATATGATGTAGATCATATTTTTAAATCAAAAATTATACATACTAAAAAGGAAATCTTTTTAGACCTATATAAATGTAAATAAAAAAAACATACATAGAAAATAATACAGTTTTTATTCATTAAAAATATTTCATTCTCTGAATTGAAACAAAATTTTGTTTTACATCTTTTCGATTTATATATTAAATATAAACAAATTTTATTATACATATACATTACATGCAGACAAATAAACAAAAATAATAAAAAAAATATCAATGAGAGTCAAAAATTATTTGAATTAAAGCATTCAAATGTACGAAAATTCCAAAATAAATGTGCAAATATTTTTCTTGGTAGTACTATAGTTACCAAAAACGTCCGTTGACCTCCTTTAATACTTTTAACCTGGCCTAGCCTCGTTGAAATATCTATTATATATGAACGCCAGGCGGGAGCAGCGGTCAGCATACTAATTACTAGACCGATATTGATTGAGTTCCGCCCTTGGAGAAAGTGATTGTTGAGAACTAATTGATTATTATAGGTAACACTTTATATAGTTTTGTTACAAATTATCAAAAGAAAGCTATGGGAAAAGATGTTTTTTTAGTAATTAATATTGAACATTGAAAGGTTAAATTATGAATAATCAACATATTGAAACAATGAAAAAAGTATTTAAGGCATGTCTTATAAAATTCTGTATATATTTTTTTATTAATAAAATACTTCTGTCTATTGAACATGGCGCTTGTAATTCTCACTTTGTTTTATTTAATGTACATAGAAAAGTGAAAAAATCAAAATGAAGTTTTAGAATACATAATATATTAAACATTTTATTTTAAATTATTACAAGCTGTAACATATAAAGTTATTTAAGATATTATAAAAAAGTCTAAGGAAATATTTTACAAAAAAAATATTGTTACGAATTTAAATGTCAAATCATATAACTGACTTTTTATACTAGTTTTTACTCGCAGCTTAGCCTGTGAAAATGTTTAGTTTTTCATAATTTACTAAAATTATCGCAATGTGGTAGTGAAATTCTTTATGAAAAAATAGTTAATTTTTATTAAATTCAAGAGAAAAGTCACACATATATATATTTCTATTATTTAATTTGAGCTATAGATAATTAGAGGGATAAAACTCCCAGTGAAAGTTCATTTGTTGGATCGTCTAAAACAAAAATAAATGTCAAAAAAAGTGTTTTCCTGAAATAGTATCATGAAAATAACACACGTTCTTACAAAATCAAATAATTCAAAAGTATAAAAATATGAATTTCGTTTATCTGTACGGAAAAAGTCTTTTTTCATGAAAACTTCAAAATGATGTCCAATTGATTATCCGCTTAAATATTTTAATTTCAAAAACCATCCTGACGAAACAATGTTACATGACAAACCTTATTAGTAACTATAGTTTATTTATTTCTAAATTTCAATTTAAACATACATACAATACTTAGTTAGCTCAATATATTAATTATTTCTAGTCATTTTTGGATTATATTAGACTTCACTATGACATGGGCTGGAGTACCTATATATTAAAACTATCGATTCAATTTAAACTGCTTTTTTTAATAATAAACATAATAATAGATTAAAACTATTAAACATTCACAGCAAACTTAATATATAAAAATAATAATAGGTGGATTAAAGTGACATTATCTCTGAGGCGACAAGTTCAATGATAGTAATTTAGACGCCATTCCGTATGCAACGTGCGCGTGCGCAGCGCCCGCCCGTCCATATAAAACAGAAACCTCTTCACATACACTACATCCCTTTCACACATAAGAAACTTAATGAATGTCAGACAAGGACAAAACAACTGGATCACGCTCAACTAATAGGGATATGGTGTCACAAACAACAGAATCATCGCTGAACTGTTACGTTTCTAAAATGTTTGAACAACAACCAGTATTGTTGGGACTTAGGACCTTCTTACTCTAACATGTTAGAGGATTCGTATCAAATAGCTTTCCCTTACACTTGGTACGGAGGGAAAAAGAGTGTAAGTGCACGTTTGAGTGGTACATACCAAGACAAACATACCGGAACCACAGACAACGTGCTGAATTTGAAATAGCTGTATAAAAGCGATCGGATCCTTGACGAAACTATCACAATCTCACCGATCGTCCTCAAGTCAACACCACTCGATAAAAACAAGATGGCTTTCAAGGTGGTGTGTTTGGTTATCGCGTTATTCGGGAGCGCCATGGCCCAGCCTCCCAAATCTGGACTTAAGGGAAGCTCGTTGGACGGCATGGTGGAGGAGATGAGATCAGGTTGTGCCGAAGGTTCCGATCCCACCGCTTGCATCAAGTATAAAGTTATGTCTTTACTTGACAGCATCTTCAAGAAAGATTCATTCCAGGTTGGTGCAATTTTAAAACTTTTTTACAAAGCCATTTACTCTCTCTGAAATTCTTATCAATTTGATATTTACAGATCTCCGACGCAGTTGAGGTGACAAAGAATGGCGCTGAAGCAGCTACTGGCAGATCTTCGGGAGACTTTATGGACACAATTGAGAGCTACATCCAGACACACGACGTGACCTTCCAACTGCCAATCGTCGACACCAAAGTCACCGTCAGTCCCAGGAACTTGGATAACGATGAACTGTCACTGAACATTAAGTTCGCCAAGGAAGGAGCCCGCGCCGTCGGTGAGGCTCGCAAAGCCAAGCTGAAGAAGATCATCGTCCCAATCCTAGTATTCGTCCTCCTTAAAGCCATGACTCTCATTCCTCTGGCCATCGGTGTTCTTGGACTGAAGGCATGGAACGCTCTCCAACTGTCCTTCTTCTCTTTCGTCGTATCCGTTGCTCTGGCTATCTTCCAATTGTGCAAGAAGGTAAGTCTCAACATTCAATTACAATCAATACAATAATCGTAAATATTTTTCATGTCCGCACAAGCACATTACATACAGCACTCTGTTCGCACCAAGTCATTAACATTTCGTACGGCCCAAGCCAGACTAACAACGGGATTTTATCTCCAAATAACATTATAGTTTACCCAGATCGCGGCAGACAACACTCATCCCCAGATTGCCGCTCACGGTCCCTGGGATGCTGCGTACGCTGCAACCAGACACAGGAGGGAAACCGAGCCCCAGGAATTGGCCCAGGAACTAGCCTACAACGCCTACCAATAAAGAATTCCTCTCACAACCTAACCGAATACCGATAACCCCAGCGGGTAGAAACCAAAAAGGTTTTACGAAACCCTGAATGTAAATAGTGTTGAGAATTATTTATTTAATTTGTGAGAATGTGTGCGATGTGTGAATGTAATTTATTGTTTAAATAAATCATTATAGAAAAAAATATTAATTTTATTATTTATAAAACCTTATTTTAACAATAAAATTATACTTATAAATAAAAAAAACTTGAAGGCAGCACATATTCACAACCATACTAAAATTAACTGATTAAAGATACGTAATTAAAATACACAAGACAACAAAATATATAAAATACAAAGATTTGTGAAAATCACTACGTATTTAATACATCCTTAAACTTTCTACTGAAAGCTGCTACGAATTCAAAACACACGTCGCAAAAGAATGCGAAATGAAAGTCACAATACATTTGATAAATACTAATTAAAAGGATAAGGAAATAGAAAGCTATGTTAGAATATAATATATGTACATACATATATATCCTCTTTGATGAAAAACCTTTTTAAATTGAAAAGAAAAATCAACATTTAATTTGTTTATCTACACTCGCCATGAAACTGAAAAACTTCTTTACGAAAAGCATGGCCATATTTTATAATGTTTATAGGAAAATATAAAATGATACATATGTAAAATAAATATGTTATCATGTGTAAGATTTTGTAACTAAACAATATTTTTCTATATATGTTATTAATAAAAAGGATGATATATCTAAAAGATTTTATAGTTTAATTTTTAATAATAAAAAATACGGTACTGTTGTACAGTAAAAAGGAGAAGTATCACAAGCTATAATTAATTTATAAGTAATTAGCAAAACTTACTTGATACACTTTCCCTCAAAATATTATTTTATATCGATAAATTAGAGGTTTTTGTTTGTTCCCATTAATTTGATCGAAAATATACTACAACCTTATATACAAATTTTGGCCTTTTATAAAAAAAAAATACAGCGAAAATCATTCTTATTTCGTTATTTTTAACTGCGTTTAATATTTCGTTTTATTGTTATAATGAAATATTATAAGTTTTATTAATAAATATTATTAAAACAATACAAAAATATTTAATAACACTTATCAATAATTCTCAAATAAAGAGACTTGTTTGAAAATAATTTAGAATGTTTTCAAAAAATCTTTAATATACAATAAGAGATATATAAAATTTATTTATTATAAAAGAGTTGCCATGGTGAAAAATAGAGTTTTCGATTATATGATACTATAATATATGTAGTTATGAAAATATATATACTACAAAAACATATCTATATAACCTCCTTCGTCTTCACCGAGAATAATATGGTGAACATAAATTCAATTCCAAATAAAAAAAATCATTTTCATTCCATAAGATTTGTTTTTTTTTTCTAGATATTTTCTAGTTCTAGTTATTTGTTTAGCAATCTTTTTTGTTATTTTAAAGCGATGGTTTTTTAAGTCTGAAAAGGAGGCAGTATCAATACAAAATAAAAATAAATGAGAGAAACAATATGTTAACAGTAACTATTATAAGTCTAAATATTTTTTTGACATTTTTGACATATAAGTATATTGACGATAAAAAAACATTAGAAAACTTACTTTTCATATTACGTTATTTCCAAAATTGTGCTATTCTTTTCCCAAACGGAAAAATATATGTAAAATAATACTCACGTCAAAATATACATAATAAAACAATAAATAGGTCTAACAGTACTAAAGTATGAAGCCAATGGCTTCCCCTTAGGGTCTAATTATGATTCTGACCACCTCAGGATATCCTTAGCTGGTGCCCTACTGACCCATTGAGGAAGCCTTAAAATTTAACACAGATTATAAAAGGCTGACCATAAACTAGAGTTAACTTCTTTGGGATCATTTACCAAAGTTTTTAAATTATTATTTTTTTTTTTTGATATACCCGAATAGACTTAGCTTTATGTCATTCTTATGAAATAAAATAAAACGGTTTATAGTAAAATTATATGTAATTCAAATGTCGCTCATTTGGCGAGAAATGTGCAAAATTTTACAATATTAACTAGGATCAATTAAAGAATATAAATAAAGAAAACCTAAAGTTTATAAATTATAAATCTAAACTAAAATTATGATTATTCTTAATAATATTAATTCTCATAGTTATATTTAGTCCTGGGAATCATGACTTTGAGTCTTTTACTTCTAAACTGACTTCGAAAAAAAATACTTTGATGTGATGAAAAATGTAAAAAAACGCCACGCTTGTAGTTAGTATCAAATGATACTTATTAATAATCAATCGATTATATCCTCTATATCTTAAATTTAAAGCATATTATTCCTTGAAAAACAATTGGCGCTAAGAATGAGAGTAATATCGATGTATGACATTAGTATTTCGATCACGGGGCTACGGTATGTAGAATACAGCCAATGTTACCTAACTGGGCTGTTTATTTATAATACATAAATAAAATTATTAATAACTCCCCTAAAATAACATTTTTACTTTAAAATAAATATTGTTACATAAGAATACAGCTTTATGTTGCTACGACAATATATGGTAACTGAAAAAATTAAGTAAACTACTTAGTTAATATTTTTGATTGACAAAATTGTTTTCTAGAAACATCCGAAAATAACTGTCAATAAAAAGAAACAAGGACATGTATACAGTGTTTTAATATAATCCAATTAGAAATATGAAGCTGTTTTTACAAAATAAAACCATAGAGATAATTGGTAACTTTTTAACTCTCCTATTAATTAACGGCACTACAAACTATATTTTATTTAAAACAGTCATAGCCTTATAAAATATATATAGATATATTACTACTACAATTTCTTAATTACTATCAAACAAAGTTTTCAAACATGAAAATTGATTACAAACATCGATGGCCGCCAAACGGAAGTGAAACAGTAATTTCACAATCCGGACATGGCGGGCAATGCAAATGGCGGCGCGGCTGACATACAGAATGAAGTCCAACCCTTATTGCATAATGAGGAGTTGACAGAAATACACGCGAGCTTTTTGTTAAGCAATGAGTTTCACTTTCCTCATAGAATGCTACCCTCAAAATGTAAACATGGTTAAAAAGAGGTTTTATATATTATTCTTTTGCCTGGCAATTTCCCAGCTTGAGCCAGGGTCTGCCTTACATGTTGTGGATACTTTTGGCTAATTAATGTCTGACATCAACCCTCTTTGGGAATGAAATGAATGAATATTAATATAAAAAAATGAAATATATTGAAAATATTTTGAAAGAAACTTGTTTTTAAATATAATTTTCCGACTCCTCAACCGTTTGTAGGCGTTCAATACCCTCTCCTGATATAAAAAAAAATAGCTACAATAGACAACTAATAATTTTCTTTCAACAAAACCTAATAATTTTCTTTTATTTTGGGTCATTATTTTAAAATACAACTCTAAAATTTTTAGAAGCTAATACAAGATTTTAAATTAATAAATCACCGTTTTTTGGTCTACAAAATATTATGCTTTCTTACACCTACTTAATTTAGCAAAATTAATTCCTTATGGGATTCATAAAAAGAGCAAAATATAGTATTTATATTATAAAGTACTGTATATGATAACCATAGTTTAGTTAGTTAGTTTAGAGTGATCTCTAATTTCTAATATAATCCGCAATTTCAAACGTTATTTATATCACACATAAACTTATGAGGGTTTATTACATTATGAATGTTACAAAATAGGCTAATTATACAACACAGATATTTTAAAATAGCTTCATTGTGATGGCTAATACAATATACCAGCATTAAAACAGCGTTTTCATTTATTTATCACTGAAAAGAAACCTCTCATCATTTCATGGATTCAATGCGCTGGTGCCGAGTCCATTACGTTGAATGGAGAGGAGCTTCAACAGTGCCACAATTTTAGTACTAAAAAACTGTAAATAATAAATATAGTATTTATGGATAAAAAATTGTTTTGTTGTTTCAAATATGATGAAGTTTATAAAACAAATTAATTATAGATTCCTCCAATCACACTTTACATATTTTAATCCGAATTAAATGTCCATGTACGCGGTAACATCAACACGCAACAAGATCTCGTAACTCCAAAATAATGGTTATATAAAACTACCATACTGAATTACAATTACCTAAGAATTTTGTGACAAAATTTACAAACGTCATTTATATGTACGGACAGATTGTGAGAGCTGTCACTGATAGAATACTGATTCACACTCGCTACAAGATTCATCAATTAGTTCTTTCCAAACTTAATTTTGCGTTTAATTATAAAACATACATAAATTATTTATATACTCATCGAAAACAAATGAATAAAACGTTATATTTTTGTAGTGTTGTTCGAACGCATTTCAATGTTCAAGTGGGTCGTAATAAATTAATTAAACGTATATATAATATAATATTAATATAACAGTCACTCTCACCAATCTGACTTTCTTAAATGAAATTAAATAGTTTGCCAAGTATGATGACGATTGTTATTCAAACCGCGCTTTGTAGCCGCGTGCCTTGCTGTCCAAAGGAACACATATATAAACCAAGCCCATTGAAAAATTAAATCATTGTTGCTCCATTAACCGGACGGGGATAACGTCTAATTAATCAAAACTAATGACAAAGTGATAAACTGTTTATAAAATGAAGTGTATCTGCCTTATCCTGGCTACAGCGGCTCTGGCTAGCGGTTTCGCTGTCAAAGACAATGAGATTGAAACGTCTCGTTTAAGTACAAGTGATGATCTTCTTAACAGTGTTATAAGTGATTGTTTCGGCACCGATTCTCCTACGTCCTGCCTCAAAGTGAAGGTCTTATCTTTCCTGGATACGAAGTTGGGAGTGACTTCAGAATCAGCGAGAGCATTCGATGATAATAATATAGATAAAGTGATCTTCGACCGCGTCGGAAGAATCCTCAACTCAAACGAGTTCAGGGTTCAACTCCCGGAATTCATTTTCCAAAACGCAGAGATTTCTTACCGAGCTGATAGAGGATTAGACGTTGACTTCCCCGAAACTGAGGCTGAAAATGGCGAAGGTTTGTTGAGCAACAGTTTAACCACAAAACAAAAACATTAATTGGCTCATTATTAATAAAATCTTCTTTTATAGCTCGTGGTTTACTCAAGAAGAAACTGCTGCTGCCAGTTCTTCTTCTTCTCAAGCTGAAGATGAAAGCGCTCATGCCCATCCTGGTTTCCATCATCGGCATCAAAGCCATCAAGGCTCTGATCCTCAGTAAACTAGCCATAGCCCTCGTCGTTGGATTCCTCGTATACAACCTCATTATGAAGAAAGGAGGTAAGGAAACTTAATTATGGTAAATAAAATCTTCTTCTACCTGGCAATTTCACAGTTTTAGCCAGGGTCTGCCTTACATATTGTGAATAGTTTGTCTAATTGTTTTTACGACCGGCCGCCTGCCTGACATCAACCCTCTTTGGGGGTATTAATCAGTGATGGCTAAATACTTTTAAAAACTACATAAGACTCTGAAAAATCACATTGGTACTTGCCCGGGTCAGGATCGAACCCGCGCCCTCGTGTATGAGAGACGCGCCTTTTAACCACCAGGCCACCACTGACTTAATGGTAAATAAAATAATATGATGAATTTTATGACTAATGATTGTTATTCCAGCTATGCCAATGATGATGCCTACTGAAGCTCCTCCCGCCGCTCAGTATGGACCACCAGCTAACCAATACGGACCACCCTCAACTCCTGCATCAGCCCCTCAAGATTCCTACAGCCCTCAATGGGAGCCAGCAAGCTCTGGTCCTTACGCCAGGGTATGGGACCCAACCCAGCTCGCATACAGCTCGTACTACCCAGGAGAATCAAGCTCCTCATCTTCGAACCAATCACCAAGCTACTCCAGCGTTTCCTCCATAGCTTCATCATCATCGTCTTAAGCCACGTTACCTCATTGTATATACAAACCCACGAACGAACGGATAGTGTATAGATAGTTTTATTTATTGACTATTTATTACCTTATTTATAAACACAATAAATTACTGTTGTTAAATGTCTAGCATTATTTATATAACAAAATGAAATACACGAAAAAATTACAGAGTAATCCTTGATAATAAAAATCTACAAATCAAAATTAAACTGGCATTTATTGTGATGAAAATGGCAGATGGATATATCCCTACTAATATTATAAATGCGAAAGTAGCTCTCTCTGTCTGTTACGTTAATTTGAGATAGAGTTGACCTTAAGAAGGAACATAGGATAGTTTTTATCCCAGACTTTTGAAAGGTTATCTTGGAAACGCGATATAAGCGAACTCCACGCAGGTGAAGCTGCGGGCGAAAAGCTAGTATAATTATAATTTCAGAATTACAAGAACAATTTCATGGTCTAGCTTAAATTAATTCCTAATATACCAATCAAGAAATTAATAAAATATTCGAAAGTAGAGTCACAATTAAAAAAGTACGTTTTAAAACTACCAATGAATAACCTGCCAGTAATATTAAGTAATGAGAAAAGTTTTAAACGAAAACAGTTATATTTAAAAAGTTAGTCAGTATTACTTTGAATCGATAAACTAAACTAAAAACAAGTTGTGAATTCTTTTCATTAATAAATCTTCACATATATCAAATATCAATGTAAGTATCTATTAATTTTGAAAAAGTTATCTTTATTTATAATTTTTCGATAAGGTTCTAAATGTTCAAGACATTCGTAAAGTAGATGTATTAACACACTTTTAATAATGATTAAATTAATAGTGTTTATGCCCGTTTGTCCCGTTAGTTTAATGAAAGATTGAAGATGAAAGAAGATCCCGTGTTAAATGAAAGATTAACCAAATAAATAAATAAACAGTGATAAAAGATTACAACAAAATGGTAAAGTAACGTGTATCATTAATTTATTATAAAGTAATTATTTTAATATTTTAAATAAAGGCTCCAAATGTATTATATTTTACAAATAAAAAAAATATTAAATTATATTGATTTTTGTTTCAACACTTAGTGTTTTTGACAAAAAATATCAACTTTGAAAAGTCAAAACATATCAAAACAAAAACAATGAAAAAAATATTATTCACTCTCAATTGTTCCATAAAATAACTTCTTTATTTAATGATATCTAAGATTCTCGAAAGTATTCTTTTAAATAAAACTATAATTTTGGGATAAACTACGCTTTTTTATATTTCCAAAACTAACTTTCGGTACCTTTGCAGCAACCCGGATCACGGATAGACAAGATGAAAGTGTATTTCCGTAGCATATCCGAAAATCTTAGTATTATTTAAACTTCTTTATTTTCCATCATATAAGACTTCCAAGTTGTCCTCTCCTGATTGACCCTCTGTAACATACATAAACATACGTACATACATTTTCATAAAACATATGCATATATATGATATAAATATCGTTCCAATGTTATTTTAGCTTTGAAACGTATTAGACAATTACCAAACTTATTGAACAATTAGAAAAAAATATATATTATAAGTTAAACTTTAGTAAATATTTGTGTAATTTAAAATTATAATAAACCAATATTTTTACAAACACAATTGTTATATTTTAAAGTAAAGAAGCAAGTTTATATACAGGGTGACTGGTGAATTACTATCGATACTTGAGGACGTGATATTTGACGATCATATATGACAAAATAAAAATTAATATAACATTAATATTAATAAACTTCTAAGTAAAGTTAACCAAAAATTGTGTAATTAATTACGCATCGTGTGAACACCCTACAGATTAGGTATACACACACACACGCGTGCGGCGGCTTGGTGTTGTATCAGCACGCCGCCGCACGCTTCCACACTTGGAACACTTGGAACGTGTCCACACTTTATTTATTTATACGGAAATTTGGGCAAAAATTAAGTACCTATTTTTTTTACATAATTCGAATGAGAATCATGTACCGAGTATGCTCCTTAAATATTGATAGTAATTCACCAGTCACCCTGTATATGTATACAAATACATTGTTTAGTAAGGGTTTCTTGATGTCAAAGAAAAAAAAGGGTAAATGTAGGAATAAAAAAATCGTTTATTATATATTGAATTTTATTTTATGAATAGAGTGAAAGATTATTATTACCTGTGTTATAACAAACAGTTACAATATGGAAAAGTGAAAAAATATTGTAGACATTGGATGTACGGTTTTGTTTTATTGTCACAACGTTTAATTCCATAGCTCGGGTTTATGGCGTGGGATCTACAAGTACTTACATATTTCAAAAAAATACAAATTATTATACAATATTATAAAAAATTTAAATTTTGTGTGAGCGACGGGAATTTAATACATTTGATGCTTAATAAATTATTTTTATTAAATACAGAAGCAAATTTTTTACCATTTTTTGTTTTTATTATTAAACTTTTTCCACTCGCTCATTTGTAGTAGTGTATTAACTAAAGATCTTTTATTAATTCGTGTAACATAATATCACAATTAATAGAAAAACAAAAAATAACTTAAATAATTTTACTACTAAATGTCATTTCATTTCAGTGAATGGCCTAGCAACATATCCAAGACTATTATTGTAAAGGTGGCACTTCACTAGGCGTTGCGTTTTCGCCGTATTTGTCCAAATATTTGTACGTAGTCCAAATAGCGCAAATACGACATCCACACTTAGCATACCAACAACGCGTCTTTACGCGTTTTCCGGTTATTTGTGTATTTGTGTTATTTATGCAAATATGTCAAATGAAGACGAATAAATCCTCCAACAACAATACAACAAATAAACGCCAAGTGAAATGCCACCTTAATATAACATCAACAATGAATAATCTTAATCTTAAAATCGATAAATACGTATATTCTATGTATGTATATTCAAATCGTATTTGAATTTCTTTATACACTCAATATAAAAAATATTCTACCATGGACCAATCTAACTCTGATCCTAATTAAAAGCACACAAAACATTAAAAGGCCCACAAACAATACTTTTGTACTCAAAGGTATGAAATGAGTTGACAAATTCAAATTAAAAACGCCTAAAAATGTAACTTGCATCGATTTAATAAATTTCCGAATATTTTCTTTTCATCCAATTTCAGAACGGAATTATTTAATTATTTTTTTTATAAACGTCAACATGTTTGACATCTCAAGCATACAGAAATCATTGTATGCGTTTCTAATTTAATTTTTAATATATATATTATACTAATAGGATATGGGGATGATATCTACAGTGGAAAGGTTAAAGCTATATCTTCACAGCCTTCGACTCTACTAGGAGTGCATATAATAATGAGTTTAGCATAAAAAGGCTACTTTTGGTTGAAAAAGGGTTAATGCGTACAGATTATAAGGCTGTCAAAAATTTGACAACATGCCTACGTCTAAAAACATTTGGAATTAAGCTTTTATTATAAACATTACATTATTGTTCTATAGAAAATTGTTTCTTGAAATTAATAGAATAATAAATAATATTGTTAAAATATTCTATTTTAGCTATTTTAACAAGATTTATTTCCAAAATGTTCCACGTTATAACCTTATGGAGTAGAAGTTAACCCTGTTAACATACAAAACAGGGATTATTTTTATAAAGAGAATATACTTGAGAGTAATATAAGAATAGTTTTAGAATTGAGTAAATGTCATACCTATAGCTATTTATTATAAAGTTGAAAATGTTTTGAAGGGTAAAATTTAGTACGAAGTAGAAAAAGTTACAAATACTAATAGTGGCTTATAAAACTGGCAGTGATATAGATAATGTATCCTCTAGCTAAGAAAGTAGTATTTTATACACTATGGAAATATGAAATATGGATAAGGCGGCCAACCGTCCCGCATTCTGCGGGACCGTCCCGCAATGCTAGACGAAATCCCGCTTTGAAATTATTCGTAAAATAGTCCCGCAAAACGTTGTATGCGTCCCGCATGTCCCGCATCCCTATTTTTTTACCACACTTCTACACAACACCCATACCACGGGCAACAGTACAGGAACACAGATTACCTATAATAGGGACAAGCGTATCGCGCCCGCTTTAATCTCGTTTTCTTTTTTCTTCTGAACTCATGACACGTAAGAGAGTACTTAAATTTAATATGGGCAGTTGCGAAGATTTTTATGACATTCCCAATCCCTAACACCCCCCCCCCCCCCCCCCCATTTCACGAAAGGTTACGTCCCGCATTCAGTTTTCGGAAAGTTGGCCGCCTTAAATATGGATCAATATATCTTAAGCAACGTTACGAGACTTTTGTTAAAGAGGAAATTATCAAAAATCGAAGTAAAATTTTTAAAAATAAAATATTAGAACTCCCGCAATATAAATATATGAAATATTAAGTTAAACGATATATTTCGATGCCTGTAGCTGTCAAAGTGTGTTCAAGAAAGAAGCCACATTGGCAAAATATTCCACGATTTCAGTGTAAGCGAAGCCATAGCAAAATATGTATATAAAAGTTTGAAACCATACAAAAAAAGATTAATTAATCTTCCTCAGAAAAGTGTGAAGTTCGTCAAGTCGGAAAAATTGCTTATTCGCTAGATTACATATAAATTGTTAACCATTTTATGATTAATTCAAACCTATTTCTATTATATATTGTCACTGTAATATGCAACGCTGTTTTAAACACGTCATTTTTTAAGTCTGTAAAAAGTATTTCTTGATATTTTTTATTATCTGTGCTGTCTTGGACAATATTTTATTGCTGGTTGCTTACAAATCACATTTTTACGATGTTCAAATTGCAAATTCGAAGTATTTTTATATAAATTTAAATGTTCTCATCATTCGTTATTAAAAATTTTCTTTCCACTGAAACAGTACTTATATTAAATTTTCCTAAGTTTTAGTTATAAAATAGCTATTAATACAAATACTTCTAACGTTGCTTTTCATACCTAGTATATAGGATTTAATTATTTTTATCTATTATTTTGCTACTCACGAATATATTGTAACATGCATTAAAATATTAAAGCAAAACGAAATAATATCAAAACGAGAAACAAAATGTCATATCAACTATTAAAGGAAGAAAAAACTCATAAATAATAATAAAAAAACTTTATTGAATAAATAAAAACTAACAGGAGCTACTTGAGGGCAAACAAAAAACACAAATTTTGTTCATTACAGATATAATATTTGGTCTGCGACTGAACACACCCTTTCACATCTACAGATTATTAAAAAAAAACAGTAAGGGTATAGAAAAACTACAAGAATTAACTATTACTTGACAAAAAATGCATGCAAAAACTTAGAATAATTGAAACATAAAGAATAATACAACTTATTAAGGTGGCACTTCACTTGGCGTCCACATTTTTCCAAATATTTGTACTCACTCCAAATAGAGTAAACAAGACATCCACACTTGGCATGCGAACCATACTTCTTTACGCGTTTTCATGTATTTGTGTATGTATCTTATTTGTACAAATATGTCAAATGAAGACAAACAAATCCTCCACACATAGTCTTATTTGGCCGAACACAACAAATAAACATCAAGTTAAGTGCCACCTTTATACTACTATAGAATATAGATGTAAAAGTAGTAACTTATAGATTTCTGTAGATGTAAAAGATATTGTCAAGACTAACCCATCATTGAACTAGATAATAAACTTAAACGTTAGTGAATCAGTCTGTATAAAAACTAGAACATTAATTTACCCCAGTGATAATTTAAATTACCCTGCTTTATGGGAGCCGTAAAATACAAATGTTTCAACAAAAATTTCATGTCAAATTGTTAGTCAATTGTATTACAAATGTTATTCAATTTGAATTGATTGTACCATTTTTGTGTTATAATTTGATTATTATATACATAGTAACAATATTTTAATCTGAACGACAATCTATGTTGTTAAGAAATCTCTGTTACATTAATTGTAGTCAAATCCTACACTATATTTGAACAGCGTGGCAAAAAAAACTAATATATTAAATTACAGCCAGCTGTAGTTAATTCAAAATTACATTAAATTAATATAATTTTGTTACAAAAACCTTACATAAATCGTAGCACTTTGGATTAATATTTCATACTTACAGCTAAGGACGTAAATGTGACAAAAAATGCAGCTAAAAATCATTAAATGAATACTTTCACATCTAAATAAACATAATAATGTTAATGAATCGGCAGATATTATTATATGAATCTTTTTTTTAAAGTAATCATTAAAAATTCTATTTTACAATCAACAATTTTTACATACAGGATATATAAATAATCTATTTCTCATAATTTAACAGTATGTAAAATTTATAACTCATTTTTCACTAAACTCAACCAATTCCTTATACATTCAATATTAAATACTAATTTAAATGTGTTTAAATTATTTCTTATAAGAATGTATTTCTCTTTATTTATTTTCTATCAATTCATTTTCTATTGATTGTTATGTCAATCTGTTAGTAATTTTTTAAGACTTTCCATATCAAGTATTATTTTTGTTAAATCAGAGTATTATTAGTAAATTAGCTAGAAAATGTTATTATAATCTTCAAAGTCACATGTATGTGTCAATTACATCCAAAATAATTTTCCTACATGTTTGATTTCATACAATTTCTGTACAAATACAAATCATACTGTATAAGGAACATTGTGCAAGCATCTAAGGCGTGGTCACACTTCACTTAACAATTACCCAAGTATGTATTCTCACACTACATAAAGGATGTTCACATTTTCATACATAATAACCTCCTGTATTTATAAATTTTGATTTATATATGAATAACGTAGAACACGTCATATGTAGTATAATTTATAACTTGTGAAAGCGCGTAATAAACACCATAACTACGTTTTGTCACTTTGCACTTCATACACTTGAGTTTCACTTAACACGTACTAGAACGTTCCACAGGGTTCCAAGATATTTAAGTAAATGCTACATATTGTTCCACGCGGCCAGTGATACGAGAGCTGGGCAGAATTTGGAGAAGGTTATACCTGCCATTATACCAGTGACTAATGTGGCGCCACCTATCATGCCCGCTGTAGAAGCATGCTCGGGAGCCACGGTACTGAAAATAAATATCATTTATTGTAAAACAATCTTATAAAGTTATAAACTAAAATGTTCACATAAAAAAATATTTTAAAATAAAAAACTTAGAATTCCATCTAAAACTTGGTTTAACGTCGTTGATGAGGAAAACAAGTTAAAAAGTTTAACCATATTTCGACCCTAATTAATTCGTCATGTTTTAATAGAAATTATAAAGGGAAAATTTTAAGTTGTTGACAAAAATATATAAATTAGTCATACTCAATAACTTTTATTGAAATTCGATAAAAAAAACATCCAAAACAATACAAATATTCATTATCGATTCATAAGAAAATGTAATCCTATGAGAAATATGTAATATTAAAATATTGTTGCAATACTTAGGTGCACACAAACTTATTGACAAAGCCTGCGTGTGTTTTAGTAAAGCACTAATATGCCCACTGTTATAATGTGGCAACACCGTGTGTTAGCGAGACCACTGCGTTGGAAGTGGGAATCGAACTTGCGACCATGTGATAAACATACCAAAACTATGACCACTGAGCCACGTCGTATTTAACCGAACTGACAGATTCAACGATCTAGTTAAATTGCCGAAACACACTAACGCCATCTATTGCGTATACTTAACATTACTCATCTATACTTAATATTATGTTAAGAGATGGTGCCACTTTACGTTTTATTAAATAGAAAACTTCATTTCGTCAATAACAGAAATTCTTGTGTGAACAAAATTAATCCGAAAATTAATTTTGTTTTAATGTAAATCTTTGTGAGCGTTTCTAGATAAATTTTTTTTATGTTTATACAAAGCATATATTATAGTTTCCATATGTTTAAATTAATAAAAAGTCTTTTCGCGGGTAAATTTTTACTGATTCATCCTATCTTTTCGTGTTCCTAATAAAAAAAACCTTACTATACAAACTGCTGGTATGCATTAAACCGTTGATAGGATTAACTTAACTTCAAATATCATATAATCATATTCACTATTTTATATCTATATCTATATATATAATTAGTTGAGTACTTTTATAACTTACCCGCTGACATACATCATACCCAACGAACTCCCATGTCCCGAGCTCCATCCGAGTATAACTGAGAAGAGCCAGTACACCCAGTCATTGTTCACCAACACAGGTAATGTACGAGTCCTGCCTTTAGGATAGTAGTTGCAGAGCAGAAAGAATGGTATTAAAAGGACTCGTAGTGATGTGAAGACTACCAACCAACGGGGTGAGGGCTGAAAATAAATATATACTACATCATATACTGTTTATATATATATAATTATTACTTATAATGGACTTATTTGTGTGATTTTTATTTAGGTATATCTCATACAAAACATTGGAAATTTGTTTGTTTGTATTTGTCATTATTAGTTGTCAAATTCAATAATGTTATAAGGACTTATCGTCAGGGATTGGATAATTCCGCGTATCTCCATTAGAAAAAGATTGGCAGAGGGTTTGAGCTGAAATATTTTCCAAATTAACGACAATTAAGGTAATTTTATCACAATTATCAATAAATTTAACATTAAATAATTACCAATTATGAAAGAAATTACTTTAAACGTCGTTAAATTCAGAAAATAATTTGGTTTTAACTTCTTGTGAAACTGCTCCAATATGTAGATACGCGGAATTATGCGACGTTAGTTACGCGAATTTGCATCATCCCCGATGTTTTTTTGATCTAAAAATCAAGATTTAGTTTAGATTGGTATTAATATTCTACAAGTAACAATATATCTAGAATATTTTTCAGATTTTTCGAGTAGTTTCTTATTTAGTGAATATATAATACTATATAATATATAATACTTACGAATTGCCACAAACTGGCCGTTATGTTACCAATCATAGCTGTGAAGTTGAATGTCAAGAAACATGTGATACGGACAAAGTTAGCTCCCAGGAAACCTTTAGTGATGGGACTGATGTCTGTGGACATAAATACATTGATTAAAACATATTATAAAACATAATATAGTGTAATCAACCATTATTGCAATACATACTCCTTCTAATTTCTCATTCTAAAAAACCACTAAATTTGTGTTATTTACTCTTGATTAAAACTTAATTAATTATGAAGTTTTAACCATGTATCCGATACAAAATAAAGTATTATGTAAAACGTTTTATGAAAACAAACTACATCATTTTAGTTATACAACATTCCTTCGAATCTTAAAGATTTTGAAACTTTCCTGATAGTATTGTTGTAACCAACTATTTCAATATTTTGCCAGTAATGAAAACCTTCCACCATCTCATAGAAAGAGGATATTCTTTATATATTTTATTGTTGCATTTTAATTCAAGGATTGACTCAACATTACATTATAGTATATGAGATATTATAAGATGTCACTAAACTTTTGTATATATATATACACATATATATTTGTTTCTCTGAACTTCTCACCTGAATGTACCGCTGGGAAAATTGATAGAGATACGAAAAATATAATAAATATATTATATAGTTGTATGAGGGACTGTTTAATGATGAGTCCGTAGGGCGTCCTCTGAGCGGCCGGCGCGCCCGCCTGGTTTGTAGCAGCTAAGGCTGGGTTCACACGAAGCGTGCGCTCTTGGAGAGTCTCGTGGTAGCGGAAAAAACGCTGGAAATGAAGAAAATAATAATTTATATTAAACGTTAATAAAACAATAGACACAATGTCAGATATCAAATGATTTGCCTGTATTTTGAATGTATTTTGACATCAACAAATATAGTAATGTTTAATTTTCTGGAAACAAAAGAAAATGGATCACACCACTTTCGAAATAAACGGCCTATACAGGGTGACTGGTGAGTTACTATCAATATTTAAGGAGCATACTCGGTACATGATTCTCATTCGAATTATGTAAAAAAAATAGGTACTTAATTTTTGACCAAATTTCCGTATAAATAAATAAAGTTTGGATACGTACTCATCCTTGCCGGCGCCAGTGTGTCGCTACTCCCCAACCCCCGCCCCGTGGCTAGCGGGCCATTAGTCGGCTATTAGTCGCGCGAGGTCCGCCGTAAGGTCCGTACGTTCGTCTTCCCGCGCGCGCGCCTAGCGATCGATCTTACGCGTATACCTAATAATAATCTGTCGTGTGTGCGTGTGACCCGTTATTACTTATTAGTAATTAAATATGGCTTTTCAATACACAAATGCAGAATACTTGGACATGGTTTATGCGTATGCGCGTGCAAATGAAAGCTTGCCGGGCGCAATCAATTTGTACCGGGAGATGTTACCCAATCGTCGAGTACCTACGGCCAGCGTCATCTTAAACGCTAATCAAAGATTACGAGACTTCGGACAGTTCCGTGTTCCAACACGTGCCCAAGGAAACGTCTTGTGTATGCTACAGAGTATGTAAACAGAGAGGAGTTGAAATTAAAAATCAATAGTGATTTCAAAACTATTAAAAGTGACCCATTCGTATTAAATCGTGTGAAAGACAATATGTGTAAACGTGCCGAACTGTGTATCACACGAGAAGGAGCTCGCTTTGAACATTTGGTAAGGTTAGTGTAGTTATGTAGGTAAATAGGTAGTTTAATGATTGACAATTGTTGTAAATAAGTATGATTCCATTTTTAAATACGCCGGAAATACCAAGATAGGTAAACAGTTCATATTATTTTTTGTGTCAAGGTCACACCATTTACCTAGTCAATAAATTGGTTGCTTAAACGAAAGAAATATCTTGGTATTTTTGCCTGTCCTAAGCCAGGATTAAAGTATGAAGGGAAATGGATCATTTTTGTATATCTAAGGTCTAACACGCGGCGGCGCGCGGCGTTTGGATGTAGGTAAACTACCGCGCGATAACTACATATACCTACGTACATAACTGGTTTGTGTCGATAACGCAGCTAGGGTATCCACGCGATCCGTAATTAATTACATAACTTTTGGTTAACTTTACTTAGAAGTTTATTAATATTTATGTTATATTAATTTTTATTTTGTCATATATGATCGTCAACTACCACGTCCTTAAATATTGATAGTAACTCACCAGTCACCCTGTATATATAAGTTATGCTAGAGATACTTCAGCAACAGACAAAATAATATACATATTTCAAATTTATAATATTGATTAGTGAAGTCAATTTATTGATTGGATATTAAAACAATTCTTAACAAACATATGATGAAGTTAATGAAACGGTTTATTAAGAACACTACGTGAGGGAAGTTTAAATTATGTTTTCTGTAACTATTATAATAATTGAAATACAAGATTTGCAAAAAAATACACGATTATCATTAATTGTAAAAAATAATTTGGAATTTAAAATAAAGCTAATGTTTGTAATAAACCATCAGTAATAATTTTAGTACAAGTTTGTTTCGTCACACTACACACAAAACGTTTATCATTTGTCATCTATTTTATAAATACTGCATTACGTTATATTATAGGTTCAAACAGAGCTCTTATTATCATTAAGCTTAAAAAAAATACGTACTTCACGTTTTCTTTCATAAATCATCCACAATAATAACAAACATATATATGAACAATAAACTGAAAATTTTACATAGACCATACAATTGTTACCCATCCAATCATTTTCCATACTAATAAACAAACCGATACTCACATTGAGCGGCAGCGCGAAGTAAGTATCGAAGCATACAAGCAGCACGAACATGCCAGCTATAAAGTAATATATAGCTGATGTTCTGTAGCTGCCCGTGAACACGTCTGACGCCCAGTTGAGGAACACGACTAGTGTACCGCATATGTTTGAGCCGAGAACCACCGCGCCCGTGTACTGGGGAGGGAGGCGAGCTGCTACACCGTACACTGAGTTCTGGAAGATCGCGTTGAAACCTGGAATGATGGATGGTTTGTTTGTTTAATGGATGGTTTGTTGGTGGGTGGGTTAATGGATGGTTTGTTTAGTAGTTGGTTAAATGGACGGTTTGTTTAGTAGGTGGTTAAATGGATAATTTGTTTAGTAGGTGGTTTAATATCTGGTTTGTTTGTCAGAATTTAATAGAGGATCTATTGACTCGAGAATTCGTTCGTCAGATACATGAAATTATGGTTTATTTCTTAGAAAGTTTAATGTGTGGTTTGTTTGTTTCATATTTCAATAGATGTTTTTTTGTGATATAGTTAAATTAATGATGAATTATGTACATAATGACCGAAATTAATATGAGTTATAAGAATATTGATAATTAATAGGAAAGTTTTTTTTATTTAAGGATGAATGATTGTAGTTAAGTCAGATGGTTAAATTGATGGTTTATTTGTTAAATGGTTAAGTGGATGATTTGATTCTAACATAAATGGATTGATAATTGATTCATAAAATTGTTGAATGCATATAAAATAAAGAATGTATTTTTGTAACCAGTCACAGTAAATATAAAACACATATAAATCTGTATTGCTAATATGTTAAATTTTAGTTTTTTTTATTAATTAATAATGTTTAAACTATTTAACCTTTTAAGTAAATAATAATAATATAGCTTTTCGATTAATTATTAACATGCATTTTAATTTTGTTCAGAAACGTCATATTATAGAAATAACCATGATTAATTTGAATCGTTTATAATAATAACATTACATTTATTTAATTTGTCTACATTTAGACAATTATATATATATATATATATATATATATATATATATATATATATATATATAATTATTTTAATGAGTGGCAATAAATTGTATTGTGTCATACAAATATGTCATATATAGCAACACATGTGAATGTCTTCTAAGACTTTCGTAAATATTTATTTAGATGAAACTAATAATTTTCGGATTATACTACGAAACTTTATTTTTGTAAAACACTACATATTCCCGACGTTTCGACTACTTTTCAGCAACCGTGATCACGGGCAGACGATATGTAGTTATTTACAAACATAAAGCACACGTAGTATATCTGAGAAATATTAGTTTCATTTATGTCTATGTATGTGTGTGTGTGTGTGTGTGTGTGTGTGTCTGTGTGTGTATATACTGACCGTTCATGAAGAAAACTGATATCATGGTCAGCCAGAAGAACACCTCCGGCCATTGGGAGCTGTCAACCATCGCGAGTATGACGGTGAACACGAAGATCATCACCTCGATACATAGGGACCATACTATACGGGTTGTCAGGTTGCCGCTGGATATAGTCGGATTAGGTTAGAGTCGGATTTAATTATAGTGCGTTTGATTTAAGCTGAGCTTTACATTTATCTTAGTGCACACAGATAGTGTATGTCTGATATCAAATATTTGAACGCCACGTTCTTTTCTAGTTTTGAACCGGTTTTTTCTGCTTTTACTTCGCCCCTTCGCCCCACTCCTTGTACTGGTAGCAACGTCAAATGTTGAAAAAGCAATGTCAAATGAAGAAGAAATTGTAGTTTTTTCAAAAATTTTATTAATATTTTTATTCCTCAATATTTCCATCTGGCCTTTACAAGTTTTGCTTATTTTATTTTTAAACTAGAATAACTCTCGCACTTAAGTTATGTATCTATTTATATATAATCAAATTTAATTCAATTTTTTTTTGTCTAACTCTACTTTTACTTTCACTCACACAAATGCAAAGCTCAGCTTAAATCTAACGGACTATACAATATACCAAAATGAGTTACAAATCCATTGTTTACAATATACCAAATGAGTCTGATTAAATTACAGAATGATACATTTTTCGAATTTATAACACTGATTCACATGTTAATAACCATGTTGAATATACTTTAAACATTACAGAGAATATTAAGAACAAGATTTATTCTGAATTACTTAGTAAAAACTCAAAATTTACACAAAAAAACATACAAACCCAATCTTAACGAATATATTGAACCAGCTGAAGAATAGATTAGGTATCTGACAGGCCCAGCCGACGTACGGCATGAAATCATCAGCGTAGCCCTTAGCATTCACCAGTTTGTAGCTCACGAAGTAATCTTTGGCTGTTATGAACATATTCCAAGCTGTGAGGGTGCCCAAGCCGTGCAGCATCAGAGTCAAGTATATTAACTTCCATTTGTCTTTTGGAGGCGCCAGATCCATTGCTATACCTGATTGTAATGTGGTATATAATGTTAGTATTGCGAAAGTTTGTGTGTGTGTGTGTTTGTTACTTCTTCACGCTCAAACGGCTGAACCGATTTTGTTGAAATTTTGTATACAGGAAGACGATGGCCAGGAATAGCACATAGGCTACTTTAAATTCCAGAAATCCGCGGGTAAGTACATTGTTTCGGTCAATATATTTTTATAATATGGACTTTTATTAAGGAATGATGAATGATGTAAAAATAATGCTTTGTTATACAATAAAATCTATTGAAATTAACGGGAATCGAACCTACTATAACTACGATTATGTATTCATTAGCTAAATGAACTATAAGAAAACTAGACAAAAGTTTTATAAAATTTAATCTTTTATTTATACAGAAAAAGGAAAGATAAGAAAAAAGATAAACTTATTTATAACTTCTGTTCCTTAACCATACGACCGAACATTAAACCAATTTCATTCAATCAAATAATAACGAACCACTTCCCATTGACACGAGGTTTTGTACAAAAAAGGAACCATTTTCTTTTGATTCGTTCTAGTTGTGTTTTTTAGGACATTAATGTAAATAAAAGTAATATTTTTAGATTTACTACGTGTTTTTTTATTATTTTAAACTAAAAACTACGTTTCGGTTACTTTACAGCAACCGTGATCACGAGACAAAATGGTTATTTTTTTTTTCAAAATATGAATTTTATTTAAATGAACACTTGCGAAACTTTTACGTCTTTAATGAAAATTTTATCCAATACAAATTGACGTTTAAGATATTCAAAACTGTTTTATAAGAAAAAAATATATATTTTACGAGAAAAAATATATCACATTAAAAATTAAGTACATGACTTATACATATATATAGGCTTGCTAGCATTCTTTCCTACATAACAAAAAACTACTTTTCTTTACATTTTACTTAATTGGCTCTACTCTCTATTAAATTGGAATATAAATTTGCAATAAACAAACCATTAGACAAATCAGTATTAATATATTCAATTAGAGCAACAGTGGAAGCCCTAAATTAATGTATGGGTTAAATAAATTGGTTACAAATTAGATATAATGTAACAGAATGATTTATTAATGAAATAGTAACAGATTGTATTAAACATTGACCCGGCTTCGTTGAACCAAGTGATTGGTTAATCATTAATACATAGAAATAGAATAAAAAGGTTCTATATGTCTAATTTGATGTAAATTAAATTAACTGGCTGTTTACAATATGTTTGATAAAAAAAAATGTTGATAGCACTGAATTATATTTGTGTTCGAAATTCAAAAATTGGGTTGTTTAAATTTTCAACTCATGAATATAGAAATACGAAATAAAATAAAATACATTTTGCTATTAATTATTATTATCCAAATCCTTCACTAAGCCTATTATTTAAGATAAAAATTAAATTTAATACTTATATGCTTATAATGGCTATGTAAAAATCGATTAAGTACGGTCTAACATCTGAAGTAACCTTGTATATTACTAGCGGATGAAGGATAATATAAAACTATAAATAAAAATTAGCTTTATAAACGAATAAACTCAATTAGTACTAGTCGTATTTATTAGCTATGCCGAAATGAATACAACGATCTGCTTTGAGCGTTCCTATTTATAGTAGAATGAGCTTTATTAATAAATCAAAGAATTAGGCTACATTATTAACATTGTATTAAAGAATATTGATATAAGTTCTGCTTGCCAAAAAATTCAATATTTCTTATAAAATTATAAAGATATACTCGTTATTGAAGAAATTATTAACATTAAATGTTAATTCAAATTATAAATATTGCTTAGTTTGTTAGATGATCTGGTTCTATTTTCAAAATTTTTAAAAAATATCTTTTAAATTATATGTTGAAAAAATTTATTTTTGTAACTGGCCAGAAATAAAAACATCTTGATTAAAAACAATAAATAAAAATCAGAAATGAGTACCTATGTCTTGCTCATATATTTTAAACCTGTTCTTTTTTCGAAATATTTTTATTTTATTTTTCTATACTTTTATCACTGGCACTTAACGAGTTGATTGTATTACGCATGTACCATATAAAAAGCGTCACGCCTGTTCAAGCATCAAATTCAATGAGGGGTATAATTCACAATAACTTCTATATATAATACTAGAAGACCCGGCGAACTTTTTATCGCCCTATAATCAAGAAATATCTGTTACGTTTTTTATTTATATTTTTGGATTTCACCTATTAAAGCCATAAATCTCCGTGTTTTGAAGTGCGACAGAATGATTGACATATTAGTTAGTTGTCAAATCTAATGTAAAAAAACGTTTGTATCAACAACTACTAATGAATTAAAAATTAATTAAAAAAACATTGTCCATCTAAAATTGTGAATCTAAACCATTCCTAGATCCCCTTGAACACACACAAAAAATTTCATCAAAATCTGTCCAGTCGTTTGAGAGAAGTTCAGTGACATACACACTCACAGAAGAATTATATATATATAATACCTTTCAAGTTAAGCGTATCATCAGGTAGGTTGGAGCCTTCCCAGGCCGGCGTTAATTTCACGGGTTCGTTTCTTAGGAAAGGCGCCTTCTCACCCTCTACATCCCAGCCTGGAAGAAGAATTAATTAATTAATTAATTAATTAAAATAAGAGCAAATTCACACTGACCGGAGAATAATGCGGACGATATAAATTTGCGGAGAATGCAGACATATCCATATAGTGTGAAAGGACCTTAAACCTTTATTTATTTGAGTTTTAATATCGAAAATATGGATTTTATATCAAAACATGTGTTTTATATATCAATATATATATTATTATAATCAAATAACAATTGATTGAAAATACACTTAAACTTAAATGTATTTAAATAAATTTAAGTATAATAATAATGCTAATATTACATACGTTGTTATAATGAAAACTTGACCTAATTTTTTTCAGTAAAATGATATTGGCTTTGAAGTATTTATGGCGGGTTCACAAAGTTAATCGATGAGAAGTATTATTAAAATATCTTAATATATAAATATATATTAAAAACCAAAGCTTTTATCATATATATATGTAGATATTTATGACTCTTTCATTAAAAAAATCTAAAAGCATTTCAATCAAGCTTAACCTATAATTTATCCCGAAATTCCATATAATTATCTCGGGAACACGTAATAATAGTTACTATAATACTGTATGACATGACACGAATAGATGGCGCCAGTATCTCACCCCAAATACGATATACGCTATTATTTATTCCTATTTGACCATAATTCCGAGTAAAGTCGCGAAACATAACATACATATCTATTACTTACAAATACGTAGTAAAATTAGTACAAAAACATTTATATTGCAAAAGTAATGGACTCGTAATAATTTTGACAATAAACGTGTTATTTTAACGAAATACTCACAGAATCTAGTAAATAGGACTTCTCTTAAACAATGGATTGTTATCGTTCTATTCGTTATAAAGTTATCGCGTAACGGTACAGACGAACACACACACATTTCACAACAAAAATACAATAATTTATAATAGTTTAGAAGAAAATAATAATAAAAAATCTCCAAAAATTTGTTAGGTTTTAACAGTTATTCGACGCCATTTTAGTTTTCAAAATTCAAACTACCGCCATTTTTGTGAGTCGACAAAAACTATTTACCAAAACTGCTGCAAAACTCTCATTTAGTGAAGTCGCGGTAAATAAATCTCCGGCGGCCATTTAAAAGAATTCTCAAATGTTTTAAAGTGGAAATGAGACTGGACTTACAAATGAAATTATCGTGCTTTTCGCTCGTTTAAAAAAAAAAACATTTCTCTATGCTTATCATAGACAAAGGTAATTAGGTTAAACTGTCACAAGATAAACGGCGGGGAATTAGGGAACATTTTTCACAGATAACTTAATTTAAAAGTATGGAATAAAACACGCAAATATAAAAGTCAGTAGGTTTTATATGTATGATCTTTTTAGGGTAGTTTAATAATATAGATGACATTGAAAAATCGGTTAAAATCGGTCAATTTTTTTGACCGGAATATTTTAAGTCTTTTAACTTTCTATGATGTCTAAATACTCTTAGAAAGTACATATGACTCGGAAAAATCACATTGGTACTTATTAAGATCGAACCCGCGCCCTCATGCATGAGAGGCGGGCCTTTTAACCACTAGCCCACCACTGACTTATATTATACAACCTGTATATAAAGTATAATATTAAACATACTGTATCTGTTCTCATATGATAAAGCTCATTATTAATTAAAGCCGGAAATTATTGTCCAAATATTTACACGAAGTACCTCAAAATATTTGGTACTACAAGTCTTAACAAATATTATACTCTTACTACCAGTATAGAATAAATAACTTATGAAAACGATCAGGATTGAACCTACGACCTCAATAGTATCTCGTTAAATTGTTTTAACAATTGAGCTATCTGATCCATACTCAAGTCTAAGTATTTTACATATTTTACTCTCGTATAAACTAATTTTTCATTCTATTTATACGTAAATAACTTTTTTATGATATTTATTAAAAGAAAGCTTCACTAAAACATATATTTTATTGTAATTGTTCCTAAATTGGAAAAGGAAAAGCAACTTTATATACTTTGATTTTTTATACGTACATAATAATTATGTATCAAAATGCAAAATGACGAAAAGCTACGCTTCCAAAACAAATGCAAATGTATTTTTCCTCCTTAATTACACATAGTTATCAAAAAAAAATATTATATTAAAACGTACACACTAAAATTATACGCCTTATAAAAATAAAAAGCACTTACACAGAAATACAACTAAGTATATTGCCATTAAATTTTCATTTATCTATTTAATTGACCTACTCAATAGAATTAAACGAATGTTGATGTCAGCCAATTGAATTATTGAGAGCTATTGACCTATAGCATCACTTTGTAATCAAATGTATGATAGTTTTGTTTATTAGAACAAAACATATCAATATTAAGATAGAATAGAAGATATTATAGAAGTAACATATGATTTAAAACTTTAGATTGCAGACGAAACTGCAGAAATTAATTAGTGTTTAATCAATACATCCTGGTACTTCTCCTAGATAAAATGCCAACTAATATTATAAATGCCAAAGTAACTCTGTCTATCTGTCTGCCTGTTACGCTTTCACGCCTAAACCACTAAACTGATTTTAATGAAATTTGGTACAGACATAGAGTTGACCTTGAGAAAGAACATAGGATAGTGTTTTATCCCAGACTTTTGTAAGGTTCTTTTGGAAACGCGATATAACCGAACTCCACGCGGGCGAAGCTAGAAAGCTAGTTACTCATATATGTATTTTAAAAAAAATCATGTAAGTTTATATTTAAATAATTTACTTATATAACATATTGATAATAAATAGTTGTTATTATATAAAATTATATACATATTGTTAAAGACAAAGTTATAATCAACACTCGGGGAAATAAAATGTACGAGTAGACTTATCTTTGAAATGAGAGAGCCTATATATAAGTATATATATACTTAATAAGCACATAATACGATCTTCAATATCAACTAACAAATATATCTTATAATATTTAGTATGTATGTAATGGAATTACGTAGATTTCCTACAAAAATTATAGCAAACTAAATTTTGTTGGAAAGATATTAAAATTTATATAAGATAGTTAAAATTCTCCCAATAGCTATTCCAAATAAAGATAAGATAAGATACGTCCTCTTATTTATCTTTTGTACATAAATTATAAAATATAAAATTTCGATTTAAAGAGCTCATATATTTTTTTATGCCTATCAGAGCCCACTGCCTCTTTCTCTCGTGGAGAAGGTTAGAGCATTAATCACCACGCCTGCTCAAGACGGTTTGGTGATTTCAACCGAACTCACCAAACCGTCGAACCCACGCCCTCGGCAACGAGTGGCGGGCCCTTTAACCACTAGGCCAACTCTCATACATATGACTAGTTATTGCCCGCGCCTTTGTCTGCTTTAGTTTCAGAATTAGAAAAGTATCTGACCTGACCGGGCGAACTCTGTTCCTCCTCAAAGAAAGTAGATGAGAAGATTTTGGATTTGATAATTATAATTTTTTAAGCGAACAAAAATTATCCTATCCTTTTCCTTGTTCTAAGCTATCTCTCCACCAATTTACAGCCAAACCCATGCAGTATATATATATATATATATATATATATATATATATATATATATATATATATATATATATATATATATATATAATATAGAAATATGCTCAATCCAAGTTATTATCATCACTACATACAAGTCATTAAACAGTTTCTTTCACAAATCTTCTCACTTTAGTACTAACATAAATTAATTATTGAGTGAGAAACGGCAAACGTTACGTGTGTAGTGTGTCCAGACAAACTTGTGGTAAGGATATAGAATTCCAATGAATAATATCAATCAGATACATAAGGTTCAACTGTAAACCACAAAACCGAAATTCACTTAACACTGGTGGAGCAGACAGATGTGGTTTAAACCGGATTATATATTTATTTATACAGGGTGACTGGTGAATTACTATCGATATTTGAGGACGTGATATTTGACGATCATATATGACTAAATAAAAATTAATATAACATAAATATTAATAAACTTCTAAGTAAAGTTAACCAAAAGTTATGTAATTAATTACGCATCGTGTGAACACCCTACAGATTAGGTATACACACACACTCACACAGACGCGTGCGGCGGCGTAGTGTTGTATCAGCACGCCGCCGCACGCGTCCACACTTGCAACACTTGGAACGTGTCAACACTTTATTTATTTATACGGAAATTTTGTCAAAAATTAAGTACCTATTTTTTTTACTTAATTCGAATGAGAATCATGTACCGAGTATGCTCCTTAAATATTGATAGTAATTCACCAGTCACCCTGTATATTTATTATATTATATTACAGTGTAAACTCCATATAACGACACTCGATTTAACGACAAACTCTCTAAAGCGTCGAAATCATTTGACTTTGGTTGGTTTAGCCTGTCTACCACACAATGACACACTCTATATAGCGTCACAGCCACTCTCAATAGCGACAAAATTAAGTAATAAAAAGTACCCTTAAGTTGCTAAAATTAGTAAAAAATGCGCAGCTGTGTACGTTTTTTGTCGCTTTGTTATCCTAGCCCGCAATAAACTCCACTGTCGTAATCATGCATACCAAACTTTCTAAGAAATTCGTTCTTCACCAATATGCCTCAATATCGCAAGATATGAATAAAATACGTTAAAAATACAACAACATTACTGGTGCAGCAAAACACGTCAAACAAAAACAAAAGACTTTATAACATTCTTTTTTATGTACATAAGTACTAACAGTAGTCTGAAACAAACTTTGTCTTTTTCTAATTCTGATTTTTCCTCTCTCTATTTAACGGCAACTCTCTATAACGCACAAAAATGCACGGTCCCTTCAGTGTCGTTATATAGAGTTTACACTGTATTTATTTATACGAAAATTTGGTCAAAAATTAAGTAACCTATTTTTTTTACATAATTCGAATGAGAATCATGTACCGAGTATTCTCCATATAAATATTGATA